TATTATCATTATCATGGCGACACCGGCACACTCGCAGCGCAGCGAGTGCGGGAGCGTTCGGCGTTAGTTTTTATGAAGGAAAGTTGTTGATATACAGTGACACAACAGTGGAACTGTAATTTGCAGAGGTAGGGCCTACGTAGTATTTAGTGAATGTGCGTCATATTATTTTAAGTTTTTACTGACTCTATCCCAAGTGCCTGTGCTCGTATGCATCTGTTGGGTAATCGACTAAACCAATATTGTTATAATACATGTCGCAGCTTTTGATGACAATAAAATGTCACCGTAATATACGGAATTTGATTAATATAAATTAAGGAATCAATTAACAGACATCTCAAACAATTTGGATTTTGGGGACGTTAGTGCTTGATGCCTGTTTTTAAATGTATAACTTGATACTTTTTATATATAGTTATATTTATTTACTTATACATTATTATAGTTTGAATACTCATGTATTTCTTGGCATTTGATATGCGCTTTTGTACATAATTTATGCTCAAGGTGTATTTTATATTGTTTGCTTGTATGTTATACCAATGTATTCTTTGCTTTAAGTGGCAGCTGTGCACAAAATATTTTTGTACATTGCATTTAAGTGTGGCTATTTTATCTTATTACACATTAGAATCTCCTAGCACATTACCATAGAGAAATGACTAGTAGTACGGCAATGTCATATGGTACTGAAAGATAACTGCATAATTTTTTACTGGCTTGTGCAGGAAAATGTAAATTGTGTTATATTAATAATATTCATTATATATATTATAATATTATTATGAATATCAACTAGTTAATTATTGAATTGTGTAAGGAATTATTTCGCAAATCATTTATAAATAAAAATATGTACACTATATTCTTACCTCTATTAGCGAATATGATACTTGTTGCACCAACTTAAAAATTACCAAAGAATTCATGCTGTCGGTGTCATAATATCGGTGTCGGTATTATTAGATCTTTGGTAATATATAAATTGGTTAACGGTTACGAGCATGCGTAAGCACGCGTGTGCTTTAAAACTGCATTTGATGGCAGACATACTGAAACAAAGGCTAGTAATGATGTATTGTCAGTTTTGCTATGAAAGGCAAATGATTATAATTATTATGTAATATTATGTATAAACAGGGGCGTAGATAGCGGGGGATGGAGGATATATCCCCCACACTTATTGAGGTGGGGATGGCGTGTACAATCACTCCCCCCCCACACACTTTCAGGAGGAAAATGAGAAAATTTCACATTTTACAGGCAATAAATACTGAACATTTATTCTACAATTCCGTCATCGCTATCATACTCTCCTATTGTATTATTACACAAATGGAAAGTGACATACATCTACTGTGAAAATGTCTGTAACTCGTTCCAAAGAATGACATATGTTACTGAAACTCAGATGGTTAATTTTGGTACGCATTCCCATATACGATTTTTTTCAAAATCCCCAAATCACGTCTTATCACTAGCTCACGAAAGTTAAATCCCTGCTTTATTCAAAATTAGAATAGACCTATTAAGAGTTGGGATATTGAATTTTCACGGGGATTGAATGGGAAAAATTCAATTTCATCACACCTTTGGGGGGGTGTGCTGAGACCCGACCGGAACTATATTCCCGATTTTGTATAAGGGGTGAAAATATGGAATTTTTGGTTTAAATCTGGTTGTTTTTTTCGTACTTTTTTTGTACAGTTCACCGTGATTGTGCGGTTCGTGTCCACCTGTGTAATGTCCGCAGTTGAAAGTGAGCGTGTTTTGTGATGAATTGATTGATTAGAAAAGATAAGAAATCGTAAGTAATCTTATTGCGCATATTCCTACGTAAGTTTGACCACTGTTCTGCCCGCGTTTGTTTAGGTATCGAGCAGCAATCCAAAGGGCATCACAGATATCAGATATATCACGCGGAGCCGATGAACCCAGCTGAGACCATCAAGACCTGGATTAATTACACAATTGACACCCAGGGGCAGCACATCTTATTTCCGAGTCCATGAATCTCAACTTCTTCAAATACTGGCTCGTCGATGTGATAATTTTCGTTCTTTCATTTTGAATGGTCATTTGTAACAATTGGCCAATTAGTAAAAACAATATTGAGTTTTTTATTTCCCCTACCCTCAGATTTTGGGTCCGGCGTCTGACGCAGTCATCCACATTCAAGAGGTCATTACTACCACTAAGCTGTGGATGCTGGGTGGGGCTCACGTTTTTTTCATCTATGGATATATGCCTATCAAGAAAACATGGTGAGAATTTGCCACCCCAGGTGGTACCAATCCATGAAATTTTGGGGTCTGGCTCATGGACTAATATCATATACACGCATAAATAATAATATGGTGACGCACGGCGTAGCTTTCTTGTGATCAAAGTAGCGAAACTATTAACTTTTATAAGTGACTTTTTAAAAGTGTTTAAACTATAGTAAGTGTAATTGTTTGCTGCAGCAGATATTCGTTCAGCACCAGTTATTTAGGGCAAATCACGGATGATATTGAATTATATTTAAGAAGAGTATCGGTATAGCGACGGACCACCGCGATTAAATGTAGCAGATTTCCCGTGCAAAGCTAATACTTATGCCAAAGGTTAATTTGGCACTTTGACCATTCCTTGAAGATTGATATGGTAAACTAATGCTGTTGACATTTGTGCATTGTTTTGATGTGCAGCAACTATATAACAGAACAGTTGTCCATGGCCGTAGATCGAGGTAACGTCTATTATGTAAGGGGTCTAGAATTTTTTTAATTGGGGGGCTAACGGCTGCATGCCTCTATAAGATCAGAGCATGTAATCAATATCTGATATACCAATAGTGCAATTTATAGTGGTAGCGGGAAAGAACGCGAAACCGAGGCTAAGCGTCTACTATACTATACTATGAAATATCGCGGTTTTTTTTCATTTCGAAATTACACTTCGCAAGAGAATAAATTTCCTCCGAATAATATATCTTTTTTTAGCTTGCTTTTGCGAAAACTAACAAATGTATTTGTTCATGCGTACTTCCATTTAATTTTTTTTAAGAAGTACTATGCGTTTTTGTGGTATAAGGGGAGGGTGGCTGGTCGCCCAATCCCCCCCACTCCCCGATATCCGCCACTGGACTCAGCTGAGCAATGACAAAAAAGTGACGCAGCTCCCAAACTACGTGCATATGGTAAGCCGAGGAGAGTGGGTGCATGCGAAACGAACGTTTCGCGGACAACTACATGATGATTTACAATTATTTTAGGGTCATTTGCATTCAATAAGATTTCTTTTTTTTCAAGCTTCTAGTTGACAGTTGCTCCCCCAACGTTACGCTTATGGCGTATGTACGCACGCTGGTTTATATACAGTTTAATTTTTTTTTTATTTGATTATATTTAGGTTACTATTTGGTACGGCCTCCGTTATCATAATCAAATCATAATCAATATCCAAAATCCAGAATCAAAGTCTAGAATCATATGAAACAGCAGCGGAAGCTCACATCTCGAGTGTGTCTAAGTCTAAGAATGAGAATAGCAAGTCTAAGAATGAGTCTAAGAATGAGCATAGAAATGATTACCTGTATCTGTACATTTTTGTAGGAATCAGGAACAGGTTTGAGCGCGACGTTCTGCTTTGTATAGCACGTCCTTGCAGTAGAATATATATATTGCAGTGTAGATTATAGCACGTGTGTTAGTAGGCCTATTGTTGTTCTATCACCAGTGCCGCCTAGCCTGGGATAGCCTGACCTTCAAACCAGGTGAGAATGTTCAGATCCTGCTCTACCGATTGAGTATTGCGTTGTCGTAAGGTAACTACAAGCTGTGGCACACCCGCGAATAGATTCGCTACCTAACAGAGTTCCTCAATACTAAGCTTCGCAAATTAAATGCTTTCATTAACTTCACACCCATCACCAGACATGCCAGACGTAATTACAAATGCCATTTCGGGGCTACCTTAAATATTCCATCGGTAATAATATAATTTCAAGTCGAGATGCGGAAAATATAATTACATCAAGATGTATCCTCTATTCGGGGTCGTTATACAAGTCAGGTGCTTATTACGTAGCGTGAACAAAACTTGCGAAGACAACATAAGTGAAAAAAATCAACGAAGATCAACTATGGAGAACCATATATTATATAAAGCTTTATATATTATTATCATTATCATGGCGACACGGCACACTCGCAGCAGCGAGTGCGGGAGCGTTCGGCGTTAGTTTTTATGAAGGAAAGTTGTTGATATACAGTGACACAACAGTGGAACTGTAATTGAGAGGTAGGGCCTACGGTAGTATTTGTGAATGTGCGTTCATATTATTTTAAGTTTTTACTGACTCTATCCCAAGTGCCTGTGCGCGTATGCATCTGTTGGGTATCGACTAAACCAATATTGTTATAATACATGTCGCAGCTTTTGATGACAATAAAATGTCACGTAATATACGAATTTGATTAATATAAATTAAGGAATCAATTAACAGACATCTCAACAATTTTGGATTTTGGGGGCGTTAGTGCTTGATGCTGTTTTAAATGTATAACTTGATACTTTTTTATATATAGTTATATTTTATTTACTTATACATTATTATTAGTTGAATACTCATGTATTTCTTGCATTTGATATGCGCTTTTGTACATAATTTATGCTCAAGGTGTATTTTATATTGTTTGCTTGTATGTTATACAATGTATTCTTTGCTTTAATTGGCAGCTGTGCACAAAATATTTTTGTACATTTGCATTTAAGTGTGGCTATTTTATCTTATTAACCATTAAGAATCTCCTAGCACATTACCATAGAGAAATGACTAGTAGTACTGCAATGTCATTATGGTACTGAAAGATAACTGCATAATTTTTTACTGGCTTGTGCAGGAAAATGTAAATTGTGTTATGAATATCAACTAGTTAAATTAATTGAATTGTGTAAGGAATTATTTGCCAAATGCATTTATAAATAAAAATATGTACACTATATTCTTACCTCTTAGCGAATATGATACTTGTTGCACCAACTTAAAAATTACCAAGGATTCATGCTGTCGGTGTCATAATATCGGTGTCGGTATTATTAGCTCTTGATAATATATAAATTGGTTAACGGTTACGAGCATGCGTAAGCACGCTGTGCTTTAAAACTGCATTTGATGCAGACATACTGAAACAAAGGCTAGTAATGATGTATTGTCAGTTTGCTATGAAAGGCAAATGATATAATTATTATGTAATATTATGTATAAACAGGGGCGTAGATAGCGGGGGGATGGGGAGGATATATCCCCCCACACTTATTGAGGTGGGGGATGGCGTGTACAATCACCCCCCCCTACTTTCAGGAGGAAAATGAGGAAAAATTTCACATTTTACAGGCAATAAATACTGAACATTTATCTACAATTCCGTCATCGCTATTCATACTCTCCTATTGTATTATTACACAAATGGAAAGTGACATACATCTACTGTAAAATGTCTGTAACTCGTTCCAAGAATGACATTATGTTACTGAAACTCAGATGGTTAATTTTGGACGCATTCCCCATATACGATTTTTTTCAAAATCCCCAAATCACAGGCTTTCAGATTTGAAAAGTACAGGAGGACTACTAATGACGCCCCTAGAACACCATAGGGGGACTTTTCACGCTCCATA